GTTTGAATGTTCTCTCTGTGCATGCGTGGGTTTTCTCCGGGTGCTCCGGTTTCCTCCCACTGACCAAAAACATGCGTTAGGCTGATTGGTAACTCTAAATTGTCCCTAGGTGTGAGTGAGAGAGTGAATGGTTGTTTGTCTCGTTTGTCTCTATGTGTCCCTGTGATGGACTTGCGACCCGTCCAGGGTGTACCCCGCCCCTCGCACAGTTATGGCTGGACATGGGCACCAGTGACCCCCGTGACCCAAAATGGAATTAACGGGTAAAGATAATGGATGGATGGATGGATGGATAATGGATGGATGGATGGATGGATATATATATATAAAGCCTGTTTGTTCTTTTTAACAATATATGTTTATTTTTGTTAATTTAACTAAAATTATACTAACGTTAATGACAACTATCAAAATTTAATTACCTATAGTGAAACTATTTGGAAATACTTATTATTTTTTGTTGAAATAATGAAAAATCTTTAGTTTTTACAATACAGTCACTGTTAGTCTTCAGCCAAAATAGTGATCACCCTTCATTTTGATCTCATGAAGCAAATCAAAGCAGAGCAGAAAAACCAAGCTTGAATAAAAAAATGCTGCACCTGCAATACCTGCACATATGCAGCAAACTGTGTGTCCTCAAGACTGCTGGAAGGTTATCATTTCAGGTTGTTGTTATCACAGAGTTAACAGCTTTCACCCCAGAGCTTAGGGGACGGCCGGTCTGCAGTGCGGGTCAAACAGATAATGCCTCTACAAGTAAATTTCAAATCGACCTGCATTTGTTATCATGCATTAAGAATTCAGGGCCAAGTGTGAGATGTGGAGGGGTAATTAGGGATAACGGCAGAGCACACCTGAGTGAGAGAACAGATAAAACATACTGACAAAAACATTATCCAGGAGCTAAATCCAATGTGGCTGCCACAAAATAGGTTGGTGGAGAAGTCAACAAAGTGCATTATACGATTGGGGACAAGGTTATTCACACGCTGGGAGTCTGCTTGCCAAAAATGTTTGCTTTCGAAGATGCAGTTAAAGGGTTTATCAAAGAGATGTGGGTCCAGGACTGAAATGCTCTGCATGCTTTGTTTCATTATCAATACACTGATGCAATATGTTTAAACTGATCAGAACGTCTAGATTTTGTGGAGAAAAAAGTACAATTCAAATTGAAAACTAGCTTAAATGACCACATCTTGAAACACATGAAGACTGGTGCTGTGATTTATTTTAATGTCTTCCCCAGTGGGCAGTTGGGAGTCTAAGAGTTTGAGACATTGCTTTTTGAAAACTTGACTTTCTTTTTCTTGTTGGAGTCGACACAACAGAACAACGTTCTGTTTACCAGAGCCAATAACCGACTGCACGCAGCGACTGAATAAATTCATTCTGAAGTTAACATAATGAAAGTGTTGGCGCTCTATTTCTTTTTTCTCCTCCTTTCTGCTGCTGCAGCAGATGAGAGTGAGGTCTCGGGGATGGCGTGGGAGTTCGCTATCTCCCAGCCTCCAGATGGCTCCGTCTTCTCTTATCTATAAGAATGGGTGCCGCCTCAATTTTTCAACTCGCCTTATCTGGGAATCCTTTAAACTGAATATTTACTGGGCCTATGTTTTCTGCCTGTGTTAGCCCTCAGAAGTAGACATTCCTCTCGCTTGTTCAGACAGGGCAAAAAGGTTTTTTCT